AAAACGGCAAAAAGTGTGTAGTTCCACAATTAGTTCTGGTACTATGAAAAGGTTCCCGTGGTGCGAAAGGCCCTCATGTCCTTGCGGGGCCCATGCTGGCTTTTTCCGGGCACAGTGGGCTAGAGCCAGCCCACACCAAACCTAAACGGGCCCAGTGCAGGCTTGCCCAGGCGAGGCCCACAGCTTTGGGCTCACCGCAGGCTCTCTGTGAGCAGCCCATACTATGGGACTGCCCACATTAATCCAATGATGGCCCAGTGTGGGCCAGACATGAGCCTGTTAATAAGAATTTTGTGGGCAGTTTTCTTCCTTACCACTAGGGGTGCTAGGGTGTTTTAGGTTTCCTTAAGTAAAGCCATGTTCCTGCGGTTCCTTTCAAGCCCAGTCTACACAAGTTGGTTTTTTTTTAAGTGTACATTGCTGATGTTTTTTTTGCAGAGATGTTACATGTATGTATGGTCTATTTTTGAATTGATGCTAAGAGTTCAAGGCAGTATATTTGTATGCATTTTAGAAGGACTCTTTATTGGTGAGGTTACCGCATCATGGTCCAGTTTGAATATGGATTAAAAGTTCTTTTCGACGTGAGACCATAGTCTGGACTATTTTTGACTGTTCCTGGTTAGGAAGTTTTGGCGTGTTTTCATTACAAGGTTGGATTATTCATTTGCTATCAGGCGACTTCAGCTATGGACAGTGTTTGGACATTGATGTACTACAGATAAGACTTTCGCACACATCAACTTTCACATGACGAAATCCTACAATCTTACGTTGTTTTGTTTGCTCTTTTTTTTGTACTTTTGTGTATTTACATTTTTGGCTATATGTAGATGTATTAACCTGAATTGAATGTTTTCTATTTTGTATTTAATAAATCCATTGATTTGAAATCCCTTTGACTACTGTACATTTTTGACAATATAGACATTAGTTATGTGGTGTCTGCATCCATTTCAGATGTATAATAACTGTTTTTCCCAAAGACTTAAGTTATAGGAGCTGAAAAGTATTTAAAGTGAAACAGATGTATTGTTATAAATCAGGGGTGCATCCTGTTCTTGGAGATCTACCTTTCTACAGAGTTCAGTTCCAACCCTGATTAACAGCAAGTTAGTCATCCAGAGAACAAATTTTATTTTTGAACATGAAACATTTACCAAGGTCCAGACCTCGTTGGCCTCATAGCTGGCTACGGGCCTGCTCACCAGCCAGTTTGGCTACTAAATTTTTACCGGCAATTCATAATTTCTACTACCCCAAAAAAATATTTTAAAAATAAATAACAAAAAACAAACAAACAAAAAAAGGCTGGAGGTAAACCAACACCTTGAGGCTGTCCACTGGATGCGACAAAGTGACCTTTGCAAATAATTTGTACTTTATGTGAGTACGTCATAAATAGAATGAGGCATCAGTTTACTGTCTGGGATTTGTCGTGCCGTGCCACGCCAGATCCAGTGTAAACAGCATCACTGATTAATGAGTCCTATTGTATTTTGTCGCGTCCAGTGTAGACACGGTGTGAGTCTTCAGGCGACTTTTCGTTATTGCTTCAATGCAAAGCAAACCAGCGCGCCTGCCATACCGTTATTGATGCTGCGCAATTAAGATGTATTTAATACATCATGATGAGTCACGAGTTCAGTATTTGCGCTAAATCTGCACAGATTTGGCTTACATGAACTTCCCCAAGAAATTAAGTAGTTAACATAATTTACAAAAAGTAACCAGCCAAATTGGCTAGTGATTTGACATTGTTACCCGCCACAGCTGATTTTTACCAGTATTTGGCAGGTGGGCGGGTGTTAATTTCAAACCCTGGTAGTAATGTAGTGAAGCTCCAAATGCTTGGATGTAGATAATGGCGGAATACGTGATTTGAAGAAGAATTGTTAAATAAAGTAATTATTTTTTATTTCTTTGCGCACAAAAAGTATTCTCGTAGCTTCGTAAAATTACGGTTCAACCACTGATGTCACTAGGGATATGCCGGTATAAAATTTTCATGTTGCGATTAATTGCAGAATTTTCATTTTTGGGTGAACTATCCCTTTAAATTCTTGTAAATGTTCTTTGCTTGCTTTCCGTATATAATTGATTCACTGTTTGAATAACTGTGGAAATGAAAGCGTTATAATTAGTAACTAATGTCTTAATAATTTATTCAAGGAAATGAACACAAAGAGTATGTTGCCATATGGCTACACCATGCGGTAGACGGTTAAATACAAATTCAGTCTTATTACAATATTTTATGGCATGACACCCATATCTGGTATCTGCTTATCAGTGCTTAAAAAGCCGGGTTTTTGGATATGCGTATTTAATAGATTACAGAAAAGGATATTTTTAGTCTTACCCCGGAGTTAGTTTACCCTCCGCCTATGCCCCCACCCACCCTCCGTGGTGATTCTTAATCCAGGTTGAACGCAAAAATTGGCAGCCCTGTTTATTAGCCTAGCTCAGAGTATCTCGTTTTACAGTTGTAGCCTACATTTACAAATACAAACCTGAATCTGACTAATCTGACAAATAGAAAACTGACAGATATGTCTGCGTCTAACACAGTGTTACACAGATTTGTTTTTGACACTGTTCTGGGACAAAAACGAAAGTGAAACTGATGTTGACTGCAGTTCAAACGTTATTGAATACAAACAGAATTAAACTAAACTATGTTTTAGTGTTGTATCTCACTTTTATATTTCATGTAACAAACATAAAGACGCTGTATATGTGAAATATATACCTGTATTTTCCATTGTGTTTACACGATTAATTCCGTGTCGCCGACATGAGAGCAGGAAATTATTTGTGGGTGGAGTCTGAATCTCTGTACAGGAATCCACGGGTAATATTAACCCTATCAGTTGTGAGTTTAAAATATTCTAGCGTAAAGTGACCAGATTTCTGAAATGAAAACCGGGGACATTCCTAGTCCAGTGGTCAAAATCTCACTGAAATCTCACTTGTGATTATCTACGAATTTAAAAATGTTTTTTTTTTTTTTGTACACATCAAAAGTATTTTAATGAAAAAGAAACAATGAAGAAGGAACTTAGAATGGTGGGAGTGGAAGGAACAAAGCTAACAAAAAGTATAATCACTTATGGATTAGAGAGCTTATTTCTTTATCTCAAAAGTACAGAACTGATATGGGTAAACTTTGGTCCACACTCCAACACTGAAGGTGGCGATAATGCACCGTAACGCTGGTGCTACCCACCATTAAACAGAAGAAGAAAAATCAAACCTCACTATTCAAGAATCAGCTACGGGAAATAGGTATAGTAGAGTATAATGTTAAAAATATAGTAACATATGGAAATAGTGACCAAGAACGGAGATATTTGTTTAATTTTCTAAGGAGGACTGGACTGGAAGGACGAATTTAAATAAGATATAGTAAGTTAAAGTGAGACAGCAGATGGCAGTAATGCAACACTATGGATGCCAACTGCTGTAAAACTCCAATGAAGAAGAAGACAAACATCACTATTGTGATGTACATTTGTGTTAGGGACTGTTGACACAAGTTATAATCATGATTTCTATGTTTGCCACAAGAGGAGTCAGTGGAACATCTATGTGTTTGTCAAAAGTATTTTAATGAAAAAGAAACAATGAAGAAGGAACTTAGAATGGTGGGAGTGGAAGGAACAAAGCTAACAAAAAGTATAATCACTTATGGATTAGAGAGCTTATTTCTTTATCTCAAAAGTACAGAACTGATATGGGTAAACTTTGGTCCACACTCCAACACTGAAGGTGGCGATAATGCACCGTAACGCTGGTGCTACCCACCATTAAACAGAAGAAGAAAAATCAAACCTCACTATTCAAGAATCAGCTACGGGAAATAGGTATAGTAGAGTATAATGTTAAAAATATAGTAACATATGGAAATAGTGACCAAGGACGGAGATATTTGTTTAATTTTCTAAGGAGGACTGGACTGGAAGGACGAATTTAATTAAGATATAGTAAGTTAAAGTGAGACAGCAGATGGCAGTAATGCAACACTATGGATGCCAACTGCCGTAAAACTCCAATGAAGAAGAAGACAAACATCACTATTGTGATGTACATTTGTGTTAGGGACTGTTGACTGTGGAATTGTTACACTGGACAAATGGTGAGTGGTTTCTTTAATTGCTATTCACGTATGCTAATATAATATTATAATACCAATATGCACAGTGGCCTGGCCCCATGTTAGCAAATTACTCAGGTACATGTGTTCGCATGGATGCATGATTTGTTTCATATTTTGTTTAACTAATAGTTATTTTCACCTGTTTGGTTGTTAGCAACTGATTGCAATGACATATTGTTCTCTGTGTTTCAGGATGTCAAGTCTTTCCAAAGGGACGAAGAAATAGAAGTTAAGAATCGAAAAGGATTCACCAAAACAACACCAGAAGCAGAATGTGTCAAATTTAAATGTTTGTGTCAAATGCAAACACCAAACTGAAAATAAATCAAAATAAACAAGGAAACTGAATTGTAGAAATACTTTGAAGGAAATAAAAGATGAAATTCTACATGTTTGTGATATTACTGGCCAATATTAGATACATTTTAGATCACAGTTAACTCACACTAAACTAACAGAATGAGTTTAACACAATGATATGACAGTGGTCTCACATGTTGAGCTTACAATATGAACACACACACACACACATTGCGACCACAGTATGAGCGCACAGTGAGTGTGCAGTGACCTCACATTGACCACAGTATGAGCACAAAGTGAGTGTGCAGTGACCTCACATTGACCACAGTATGAGCACACAGTGAGTGTG